TTCAAAGGGTGGATTTACTCTCACAAAGTGGTTGAGTAACAGGTCTGGAGTGCTGGAAGCCATCCCAGAGAATCACAGAGCAAAAGGCGTTGAAGGGTTGGACATGGAGCTGGACTCATTACCTGTGGAGAGAGTGCTGGGTGTGGAATGGAGCATTAAATCAGACTCCTTTAAGTTCAAGATCGTACTTAAGGATAGACCACTTACCAGAAGAGGAATCCTCTCAACCGTCAGTTCCATTTTCGACCCCCTTGGAATGCTGAGCCCTGTGGTTTTAATAGCAAAAAAGATCCTGAGAGACCTGTGCAGGAGAGGGATAGGCTGGGATGATACTGTGCCTGAGTCTGTCTCAAGGGAGTGGCTGGAGTGGCTGCAGCAGCTGCATCTGTTGGACAGATTTGAGGTCAGTAGATGCATGAAGCCACCAGGCTTTGTAGAAGTGGCTTCAGCACGGTTACATCATTTCTGTGATGCCAGCGAACACGGGTATGGAACAGTCACTTACCTGCTGTTGGAAACAAAGAACTCGGAAATACACAGTGCTTTTGTGATGGGAAAGGCTCGAGTAGCACCTTTAAAATGTGTCACAATCCCCAGGATGGAGCTTGTCGCTGCAACTATGGCCAGCCGCATTGATACACTCTGGAGGAAAGAGTTACAGATGGATCTGCTGGACTCTGTGTTCTGGACGGACAGCACATCTGTTCTGAAATACATCAGGAATGAGACTTCTCGGTTCAAAGTTTTTGTTGCAAACCGGGTCTCACAAATCCTCAAGGTTTCCTGTCCGGCCCAATGGAGGTACGTGGACACCAGCAGCAATCCAGCGGATATGGCCTCCAGAGGTGTGAGAGTTGATGTGTTTGTTGCTGATGCTACATGGGTGTCGGGGCCTTACTTTCTTTTGCATCCCGAGAGTGAATGGCCTGTTGAGCATGAAGACCTCAATCATCTTTCACCTGGTGACCCTGAGGTCAAAAGTGTTGCTGCAGTGAGTGTTGTCCAGGCCATGGAAGAACCTGTAACTCACCTTATTGAATACTTTTCCTCTTGGACAAGTCTGAGGAAAGCAGTGGCATGGCTCTTGAAGATTAAAACCTTTCTCATGTCCTGTGTGAAGAAGAGAAGAGAGTTACACCTGACCTATGCACAGTCTGACGTCACCAAAGAAAAACAGACATTCTCTGTGGAAGAGCAGATGAACAATTTTAAGAGGACAGTGGCACAGAGGAGTCTTACAGTGGAAGACTTGGACCGGGCTGAGCTTGCCATCATCAAGTTCTGCCAAAGGAAAAGATTTCCTGAGGAGGTAAACAGCCTGCAGAAAGGGCAGCCTGTTAGGAAGTCCAGTCACCTCCTTAAGCTCTGTCCGCAGCTGCAAGATGGAGTCCTGAGAGTTGGTGGTCGGCTCAGTAGATTGTCCATGCCTATGGAGGAGAAACATCCAATAATCCTGGCAAAAGACCTCCATATCTCAGAGCTTCTACTTAGACATGTACACCAACAAGTTGGACATGGAGGCCGTAACCATATGCTTTCTAAGTTGAGAGAAAGGTATTGGATTGCTGGTGTGAGTTTAGCCATCAGGAGAGTTTTGTCCAGGTGCATCACCTGTCGTCGCCTGAATGCTCTGCCAGTTCACCAGCAGATGGCAGACTTGCCCCACGAAAGGATTGTCCCAGATGAACCACCATTCACTCGTGTGGGTGTAGACTGCTTTGGACCTTTCGAGGTTAAGAGCAGAAGGAGCATGGTAAAGAGGTATGGTGTTATTTTTACTTGCCTTGCCATCAGAGCGGTGCACATTGAGGTTGCATCATCGCTGGACACCGACTCCTTTATTAATGCACTTAGGCGTTTCACTGCCAGGAGAGGTCAAGTGCGAGAGCTGCGCTCTGACAATGGAACGAACTTTGTAGGAGCAGAGCGGGAGCTGAGGAGGGCCATCGAGCAGTGGAATCAGGTGCAGATCCATGATGTCCTGCTTCAGAGGGGAATCCAATGGAGCTTTAATCCACCTGCGGGCTCACATCATGGAGGAGCTTGGGAGCGACTGATAAGATCTATTCGAAAGGTTCTCAACTCGACCTTTAAAGTACAAAACTTGGATGAGGAAAGCCTTCATACAGTGCTTTGTGAGATTGAAGCCATAATCAACAGCAGGCCAATCACCAAAGCTTCCATGGATCCGAATGACCTGGAAGCATTGACACCAAACCACCTGCTACTGTTGAAGACCTCACCAACGTTACCACCAGGGGTATTCGAACCCTCAGACATATATACACACAGGAGGTGGAAACAGGTTCAATACATGTCTGATTTGTTTTGGAGGAGATGGGTGAAAGAATACTTACCTCTACTGCAGGAGCGTCAGAGGTGGACCGGAGTGAAGAGGAATCTCGTCGTGGGAGATCTTGTTATCATCATGGACAGCACGGCACCTCGAAACTCTTGGCCTGTGGGACGAGTCATACAAACCTTCCCGGATTGGAAAGGATTGGTTCGTCAGGTGCGGATTAAAACCCGGAGCAGCTGCCTGGAGCGGCCCATCACGAAGGTTTGCCTGCTGCAGGAGGCTGAAGCCACTTGAGGCTTTAGTTGTGATTTTGACTTTTGGACTATTATGAGATTCACCTTGGTTTTTGACTTTGACTGGTGAAACTTTGGACTTTCGAGTCATATTGATTCAAGAAGAAAGAAGATTTCCCTGTGGATTATTGATGGACATTAATTGTTGATCTTTGTTGTGGTTGAAAGTGTTTTGTTTTTTTTTGCATGTGCACGTCTCCTACTTGGTACTGTATGTGAGTAATTATGATTAACTCCATAATTAGGGGCTGGGTTGTAGGAGCCGTATTGTGTCACTGGTGGATTATTCGTCTCTTGATTTGTTTGGTCTGGTTGCCACGATGATGCACAGGGCTTGGGTCACGTGGGCACTGGGGATGATTGCCGTAGGTGATATAGGGAGCTGGTCTACCTGCACGGGGGAGGTGAGAGAGGAGTGTAGGTAGCCGCAATTTTTGTTGAGCGCCTTTGTTCAGTTCATTGCTTTGTTACATATTCGCCGCCAGTGCACGTTTACCATCCTTTAGGCGTGTGTAACCTGAAAGCCGCTGAAGTAGCTGTGATGTTTTTAAGTATTAAATGATTGAAACCTTCCTGGACTCAGCGTGCTTATGAACCAGCAGCAGCGCGTCACACAAACATACAGGACCTCATCCTCTCAAACGACTTTAATGACAGGCAAGTCGTTATAGAGATTAAAAATCTCTTTTACAAGAGTGTCCTGGCCAAGACAGGCAGCAGCATAATCATATATATACACAAACACAAGTTGGACACAAACATTAAAAACACTTAGCATGCAAAACAGCAACAATTCAAGGTCAGCTACAATAATAAAAGCCTCAGGCAAAACATCTACAACCAGATGTTTCTGCCTCCAGGTCATCCAATTTCCCCTTAAAAGTGTTCAATGAGACCAATTCATTTTGTTTCAAAGTTTTCTGTAACATGTTCCAGGCAGAGGGAGCAGCAAACCTAAATACTTTCTTTCCCAGTTCAGTTCTGACTTTTGGGACAGACAGCAAGGACAAATCCTGAGACTGAAGATTGTGAGTTCCAGCATTACTTCGGTTAATGTAGGACAAAAGGTAAGAAGGAAGAAAACCTAAGATTGCCTTGTAAATGAGAATATGCAGGTGCCTCAGTCTACGTATTGATAAGGAGGACTATCCAACCCGTTCATACAATGTACAGTGATGAGTAAGCGCTTTAAAACCAGTGATGAACCTCAGAGCTCCATGATACACAGTGTCAAGAGCATGTAAGCTTTGAGATGAGTCTTGCATATATACAACATCACCGTAGTCCTGAACAGACATAAAAGTGGCAGCAACCAGTCTCTTTTTTGAGTTTAAAGAAAAGCAGGATTTGGATCCTAAAATAAAAACCCAGTTTCAGTTTCAATCTTTTTACCAGCTGCTGAATATGATTTGCAAAAGAGAGGGATTCATCAATTAATATACCAAGATATCTGTAACTGGAAACACACTCATTCTTCAAACCCTGAGAAGAGAGGATCGAGGGCAGATTTTGTCAACACACGTGCAAACATTAATAGTTTTAGTAGCTGATTTATAGTAGTATAGAATATTTGATTTGCAGAAATAGGTGAGAAAAAATAAACATGATGAAGAGGGGTTTGGCATTGTCAAGGGCATATATAGCAAATGGCACTGTTTTTAATTCAATGAGAGTATTTCTTTGAAGTCAGGCATATTTTCAAGGCCCATTCTCTACCCAGCAACTCTCTCTGTGGGCCCCCCACCTCACAGGCCCCAGTGTAACCACACTGCCTGCACTGCCTATATATACCCCACTGCTCCATAGGGGGTCACAAGGTCTTGGAGGTGTAAGAAAACTTAAAAAAACAACAACAACACAGTAGGCCAATATCTCAGCAATTCATTTAATAACAAAATTGTTATTTTAAAATTTGCACTACTATTGAAGACACTAACTTAAAATACATCTCACAAGACAAAGGCACAGTGAAGACCTGAACACAACTTATACTGATAGAACCTTTACTCTAGCATGAGAAAAGTATGCAGTTAAACTTACCAAAGAGCTAATAAAACAATGGACAAGTGTCACAGAGAAGAAAGCACCAAACTTGTCAAAAGAGAACCCTTTTAGGTATGTATAATTGTCTTAAAAAAAATACATCATACAGACAGACAATCGTATAAACATTCCAGATGCAATATTTACAGAAAATAATCTGCTCAAAATTCATCCAAATTGCTTGTTTTAATTAAACTTCCTGCAGTAGAATGACGGTAGTCAACAGAGCAAAATAGGTCATTAAATTAGTCAGCAAAATAGAAAACTATTTATACAGTATATATATATATATATATATATATATATATATATATATATATATAGACATAAATATATATCTACATATCTCATATGTCTCATATATGTTTACCTATAAACACATGTTTTATGTGTATGTGTGTGAAAACAAAAGAAAATGTTGCATTCCAAGTAGATTTTGCATTTTAATCTGGTCAGAGAGTTTATCCGTCTATCCATCTCATTTTGAGCACAAAAGCAAATAAGCACATTTTCTCAAATGCTAAACTATTTGTATCATTTTTAAACTTAGGATTTACCTTCGAACAGAGCCAGCTGGCTATCTGTTTCCAGTCTTAAAGCTAAACTAAACATCTCTGGCTCTAGATTCATATTGCCATACAGACATGTGAGTGGTATCAGTCTTCTTATCTAACTATCAGCAACAAAGCAAATAAATGTTTTTACAAAATGCCAGAAAAGGTCACAATTTCTCCTAAACTGCCCTCTGTCTTTCTGGGCATGAATCTGTGATGTTACAGACTCTAAGCATGAATTAAATGTGATAGCTGTACATTAGACATTAGACTATATCATAACACTTTTCTCCATCTTTTACTAGATATCAAAAACATTTTATTAAAGAGATTTTTTATACATAAAATCCATCGTACCATCAAACTCACAAAGTCAAATGAGCATCCAAGAAGCTATTAGGTCTTCCCATGAAAATAGCATGTCCTTGTCTATGGTTCCATTGCAAGATCTGCATCCTCTTTTTTCTTCCAGAAGGCATCCAGAGAAAAGTAATACAACAGTGGATCCATACAGCAGTTCGCACTAGCCAGACATATGTAAGGCGTAGTCAAAGGTCTCCCCATAAATAATAAAGCAATCGACGGAGGCAAGAAACATACAGCGAATATAACCAAGCTCATGACAAAAAGTAGCATGACATTCACCTTGCTGTTGACCCTTGCAAAGTCACTGAGATGTTTGTGTAGAGTCCAAGAAACCGAAGTGGTGCACACAATATTGACTGCCAGCAAGGTGAGCCCTAATGCAGACTCTAAATAAGCCATTGGTGATCTATGAGTATGATGATCAGGAAATTCAAAACAGCTGGCTCCATCGAAGCCTTTTAAGATTGTTGAAAGGTACACTCTCTCTGTGATGTTCAGCACCCCCACAAACAGCCAGACGAGCACAACAGCTTTCCAGGTGTTGCAAACGGTTCGAAGATGCCGTGACCTCAGAGGATAAACCACAGCCAGCAGTCGGTCCATGCTGATGAGGGTGATGAAGATGGCACTAGAGCGGATGTTGTCAAGAAAGAGCATTGTGATCCCGATACATGCCTCTTTGCCCAGAGGCCAGGTGCCTGTGGCGTAAAAGTAGACCCTCATGGGGAGGGAGATGACGAGCAGCAGATCAGAGATGGCCAGGTTGACCATGTAGATGGCACTGGGGGATTTGAGGCTGTGGTGTCTTAGCAGAGTCCACAGGGAGAAAGCATTGAGAGGCAGACCTATTACCAAGATAGAGCCAAAGACCAGAGCATAGGCCAGCTCTGGCTCTTGTCCATAGTCCGTAGTGTTGTTCATGTCTGCCAGATGAGAAAAGCAATGTTGCCGGGAGCTTTACTGAGTACTGCACTCAAGCACACGCCACATCAGTTTGTCCCTCTGCTCTTTATCTGTGTGAAGGGAGTTTTTGTAGGGCAAGTTAAAAATGTAACAGGAAATAAATGACTGTGGTGACACAACTCAGGAACTGTAGTCACTGCGACCTTTACGAATTTACCAATGTGGCTGCTTTAAATGTTGTGCAATATCACACCCTAAATGACATATTTTAGTAGTAAGTTAGTAAGGAAATGATCAACATTTATGAGGAATAAGTGAATATTTTACAGATGAAGTGTTAAAGCAAATCATGTGGTGACACGAGGGCTTTCATTCACATCATTTTATTGTGGCAAGTTGAGTTTTACGCAGGGGTTCAAAGTACTTTTCCCACCACCACTGATGATTTTCACAGGCCACTAAACTCTGTTGTACCATTACACTATGTTTTTCAAGTCATCCCATTACGTCACAATGCAAATAACCCGAAAAACAAAGGTTATATTGTAACCCTAGTTCCGTTAGCACAGGTGTAGCCCTCCTGGACTCTATGGGTAATACTCTCCTTCAATCATAAGCACTCCAGTCATTGCCCACTGAAATTTCTATAAATGTAGCAGGTCAATCAGGACATACCTACCTGAATAAGTGGAGTCCACGGTATAAAGAGCTGTATGATGTCATCCACTATCCTACACCCTCTTCAACAAATGAGGTAGGAGCAACAAGGCCCCTATGTTCAGAACCAACCAACCTACGTACCAACTTCCTGGATATGGCCGCCGCCATCTTGCCCTGATGACGTCATTTGGAGCCTGAGTTTGTGCAGTAGTGATCTCCGCGGTGTCCAGTTCTCACCCAAGCACCCTTACAACCCACTCTAGCAGTGCCATTGAGCGCGAGCATACCGATTGGCACACATAGCTGTCAATCCTGATGTCAAATCCCCTTTTTATAGTATCCAGTAACTAATTAAAACCAAACTCATCAGAAAAATGAACAACTGAACATACAACAGGGAACGGGAAACATTTATTTGAGGCGTACTTTGAGTTTTTAGTTTGGTCTGTGTCCCATCTGCTAACATGGAGGGGGCGGGCTATGTGACCTGTACTGCAGCCAGCCACCAGGGGGCGATCGAGATGTTTTGGCTTTACTTTTGGGGGAGCTGTCATGTCCTCCATCTTAATATGCAATCTATGGTTCTATCTCACACAGTCTGCATCCCCCGCTGGACTCTTTGGGAACAGTGGGTGGAGCCCTATGAATTAACGGCTTGTTGCGACATAACATCCTTAGCTCATCCTGACCAGCAAAAAGTACGTCGCTGGACCCCCGGGAACTGCCCATTGGTTTGACAGCCCATTGGTTCGACATCCCATTGTTCCGACCATATTAAACTCATTGTTCCAAAGTCCGTTTCGAAATCATCATGATGCCCTGTGGTTAAGGTCTGGTTAGGGTTAGGCAAAAAACCACTTGGTTAGGGTCAGGAAAAGATCATGGTGTGGGTTAAAATGAAAAAGAAAGTGACAAACACATAAGCCGTGAGCCTGCTCTGCCTCAAGCCGGTCACGGCGCACCATACGCCCGCCTGTCGAACCAATGACATGGACCCGGACCCCCTCTACTTCTTTATAACCTAGGCTACTACAGCAGAGAGGTAGGGGGCCCCAGCCAACCCAGGTGGTGAGCAACCAAACTGGGTGGAGCTTTGACCTAATCCTGCAAGGGTCGAAAGACAAGCAAAAGACATCCTGCACACCATATTTCCTGGACCATCAAGGAGCAGGGAAACATGTTAGTATATCAAACACAGAGGGTAGTCAGATGCAAAACAGCTGACATACACCCAACCCTTTTCAAAAGTCTTGTTTCGTTTCAGCGAGCACAGGCCCCAGATAAAAGAAGAGAGAGAGTAGAGTGTGAGTGGACCACAGTGAGAGGGTCTCTGCCTGCCTATGTGTAGGCTTGGGAGATGCACTCACAAAGCCAGTATAGTATAATGGTAGGCATGTCCTGATTAACCAGCTACTTTTATGCAAGTTACAGTGGGCGACTGAGTGCTTGTGATTGAAGGAAAGTTACCCATAGAGTCCCCATAGACTCCAGCAGAGGGCAAAGCTTGTGTGAGAAAGAGCTGTATGTGTCATCATATTTGCACAATATAAGTTTAAATTAAATTAAAAGCTGTACTTATCAATGGATCATGGATCACATAGAATGAAGTGCTAATTGCTCTGTGTCTGTTGAATGTGTAAGCTAATCACCGTGCCAACTTTAGCTGATGTAAGGCGACGTGTCGTGAGTGTTGTTCTGTTTCCCCCAAGTGACTTATTTCATGGCAACTTTGGGGCAATTGAAATAAGTTCTAAACAAAACACTGATATATTATCACTATATGGCTGACTTGTTAGCAAATAGTTGCTTTACACATTCAGCAGTCACTTAGTAATATTAGCATTCATTTGGAGTTGACCTGATGAATGTTGGTCTGATCCACTCTCTGCCAACAGCTAAATGCTCCATTATGCTCACCACCTATCTACTTAATGTGTCTGTCGGCCATTTTGTACTGGGCAGGCGGTATGTTGGGAGCTTTGCTGATGAAAACAGTTGCCTGCTGTCACCAGTTAATTTTATCACAACCATTGCTTATATAAAGAAAATATTAATGATAGTCACCTTTAATCTGTCTTTTCACGTGTTTCTCTTCTTTCGTTCACACGCTAAGGAACAGGAACTCTACATTTCTTAATTACTTTGAATAGGAAGTTAAAAAAGTCTATGAACTGAACTGTCCATTTCTTACCAACAGTGGCAACTGTGTCAGTGTAAATGGATGCCGCATCAAAGCACAACTTCTGCACAACTTCTGCACAAATGTCTTCTTCTGACACTTTTCTCAAAACAAGTCCAAGGTCATGTTATCTGAAGGCAAATTGGCTGTGAGTGTTCATAAAATCTGCCCAGTAGTTTTAAGAAATGGGGGCGTTCAAATGACAACGCTTATCAGATGTCAGGAAGTGGCTGAGTGTCTTCACAGCTCAGTTTGAGGAAACTGCACAATGATATTTAATGTGACACTTTAAAATGAAAGAGCTACTGAACACCCACCGTTAAGACAAATGTATCTGTGACTCAAGGCTTGAGATTGATGGAATCAAATTTCGTCACATTTTAAGCATTTAGGTGACTCTCCTATCGGAGCAGCTCACAGTGATAAGAAAGTTTTTCTACTTTTGCTACTTTAGGAACAATACATAAGCACACTGGGGAGAGGAAAAAGTCGAATAAACTGCTGCTATAACTCAACCACTCCAAAAAAGCCATGAGAAAGCAAAGAGATCTCATTACAGCACCAAGCTGACGCTCTATTTTGCTGAGCAGTTTGTTAATGGCAGATAATACACACACACACGCACACACACACACACACACACACAGTCTCACCCTGTTCTCATGGTATGCCAAATGCAGATCACAATAACGCACAGGTCATATCACAGTTTTCCAGAGATCACCTCATCACTGCAGCTTCCTCCAGGGACTATATAGAGAGCTGATGAGTGGCAGAGATCCTCCTGAGTCCTGCAGGTTGAGCATGCATTACGCTCGGCCTAAAGTATCCTGATTTGGTGGTGAAGATGCTTTTCTCTCTGGTCCGCTGTCTCATCCTTCTACTCCTCTTGACCTTAACTGATGCTGGTGAGTTGATGAGTGCTGCGTTCGATTTTACACACTGTCCTAAAATTGATAACTTGACAGCTTGATGATATACGAAAAGTTGAAGCTCTTTCACACATGCTGGAAAGTTTTTTTGAAAAGCTGAAGTCATGCATCCAGCACAAATGTGACAAAGCTGAGGCGATCAAGTTTCATTTAATTCTTTGCTCCTCATTTCAGGTTGAGTTTATTTATGTTTGCAGCTGTCAAATTTGCGCTGGAAGACAAAGCAAAACAGATGCTGGTGGTGACAGCAAATCCCTTGGGAGTCTGATGTTAGACGTTGAATGCTCCTGAAATAGATCTTTGTAGGTAGAGTTTTAGGTATTTTTGTCAACCATCACATCAAAGACATGAACATAAGCTTTTTCGTAATCAATGAAGCAGCTGGTAGAACTGTATTGGAGCCTTCTTAGAGCAAGTTCTCAGCTCTGGTATTGCCCAGCAGATCAGTTCAGCTAACGCAAACCATTACAGTTTGTAATGACCCCATGACTGTGCACATTTCTCTCCTTTCCCTGTTACTCGGTTTCTTTACTGAAACCAGGGCGCACCCTGATGAAGATCAAGGAGCGAGTGCGTAATCTCCAGCTGCAGAAAGCCAAGCAGCTCCTCCTGACGCACCCAGCCAGCGGTCGTCAGCCTCTCAGACATGTGAAGGAGGGCAGGATTCACCAGCAGCTGGACCACTTCAACCGAAAAGACGTCAGCACCTTCCCACAGGTAGAGAAATGTCAGTGATCAGTGATCTGACAGTGTGAGTGCATAGAACAAGTGTTACATGATAAAGGCCTGACATTTGAGACCAAAAAAGCGTTGGAAAATTTGACTTTGAAAAGATGTGATGATGATAAAAGAACACTGTGAACTCCAAACCAACATAAAGGTAATATTTTATTTAAAGCATTAAACAAGATGGCTTTATACTGTGTGCTATTTCTGATTTTTTTTTTTAATGCAAAGCTGGTAAAGCAAGTAAAAACAGCTGCCTTGTCATTCTTTCCCACTGAGCTCTGCTGCTGTGGTGAAAAACTCTGCAGTTCAAAGCGTAACTTAGCAAAATCAGCAGCTCTTGTCAGCAGTGAGTGAGCTTTCTATCTGGAAAAATCTACATTAAATTTAACCTTTTCATCTCCCCAGCTCCACTAAGCACTGACAACATTTCCTGACAGCATGTGAAATGTCTCTTTAGCTCTCACTGCTATTTGAGGCAGCCAATGTGTAAATGTGTCCACTGCAGCATTGAATAAAGGATTACTAAGACGAAGAATGTGCTGCTGGGTTGGGTGAACCTGAATAAAACATTTCTTTCTTTCAGAAATTCTTTGTGAACGAGGCGCACTGGCAGCGTCCTGATGGTCCAGTGTTCCTCTTCATTGGAGGAGAAGGGCCCATCTATGAGTTTGATGTTCTGGCAGGTACAGTAGGATTCAGAATATGCACTCACCTGTCTGTCACACGCTCTCAAACAGCAGACAAAACACTGAAAACAGCTGACACTCCCTCCCAAGATTCGGAAATAAAAGTGGAGACAACAAGTGAAGCATCATATTGTGTGTTAGTAAGATGATACTTGCTGGTGAGCATATGCTTAATCTTTTCTGCCCTATACCCACCAAATCCTCACTTTTTTTCTTCCCATGTTTCATTTAGTTAAATTTTGGATTTTAAAATTGGTGTTCTTCAAAATCTTTCTGCCGGGAATAGTGCCTCGTGCTTCTTCATGCCATTTTTTTTTTTTTGCTCTGCAGAACTTCTACATGTTTAATCCCCTCACACTGTCGGTGTATTGCTTGTATTTAAAAAAAAAAGTATTAGACTTTGCTGCACTCTGAATCTTATCTGCTTTGACCATGTTTTTCCAGGTCACCATGTTGACATGGCTGAAAAGAACGGGGCCCTGCTATTGGCTCTGGAGCACCGTTTCTATGGTGACAGCATCAACCCTGACGGCCTCAAAACGGAGAACCTGGCAGACCTGAGCAGCCAGCAGGCGTTAGTGTTGGCTCCCTAAGTGTGTGTGTGTGTGTGTGTGTGTGCGTGTGTTGTGGATGTGTTTGTCACATCACTTCCTTCCTCATTGCATATGTATGTGCGTGTGTCTTTTTCTGGTTTGTATATATTTATTCACTTTTCCCTCTCCTTCTGTCTGTCTATATCTGTGAGTATGTGTGTGTTGCCATCCAAAATCTTCAATGACCAAACCCTTGCATTAGAGGTTGTCTGCTGCAACCTCATTGCTAGAATAAATGTTGGCATTGCACCTGTCTGCAAACCATGCATATGTATCATTTGCTGGCTATTGCATAGCAGCATGTTGAAACATTTCAGCAACGCTATGGGTGACATGGTGGCACAGTGGTGCAGTGGTTAGCATTGTCAGTGTGGGTTTTCACCAGGTGCTCCAGCTTCCCCCCACAGTCCAAAGACGTGCAGGTTAATTGGTGACTCTAAATTGTCCATAGGTGTGAATGTGAGTGTAAATGGTTGTCTGTCTCTATGTGTCAGCCCTGTGATAGTCTGGTGACCTGTCCAGGGTGAACCCTGCCTCTCACCCTATGTCAGCTGGGAAGCGGTCATGTTTAGTCACAAAACCAACTTGGTTGTGGTTAGGAAAAGCTCATGATCTGGCTTAAAACACCTGCACAATTGCCTCTGGAAACGGCACCATGTGTCGCTAAAAAATACCCAGGTTTGGTGGCACAAACGCCGCTGGAAATGTTGTGACGTCTTGCTGACGAACAGCCAGTTTTATTGTTTGTCGGTCTCAAACAGTGGTCTGCACACGCCTTCCATCATCTCCTCCACCTCCCCACGAGGAAAGTCAGCTTATATACATGTGATCTATCTGTGGTTTGCAGTAACTACAATGCCAGTCAACAACGTTCTGGCCTTGTCTTGGTGCAGAGTCATAGTAACGGACACACTGTTACTATAAGCCACTTTTAAAAATAGATCAAATAAAAAAACAGAACATTTTTTAGTCCCAGGAAACCCAAGCACATTTTCCAGGACAGTCAGTTAAAGTCAAGACAGGTGGTACATATGTGAGCATCTCTTATCTCCACACCTCATATATCCTCCTTATGTATTCTATATTTTAAACACAGTGAAGTGGGAGATAGTGAGTGTGTTTCTGCATGTGTCCCACGTATGCCTCTGTCTTTCTGTCTCCATTACATTTGTATGTCTGTGCATGTATTTATAATGTGTGTTAGGTGAAAGACTGAAATGATAACACAACATTTTTTGTGTGTTTTTTTGTCCAGGCTTGCTGACTTGGCTATTTTCCACCAGTACATCAGCCAAAGCTTCAACCTGAGCCACAGGAACACCTGGATCAGCTTCGGAGGCTCGTACTCTGGAGCGCTGTCCGCCTGGTTCAGAGGAAAGGTGCAAAAGACACTTTCAAGCACAAAACACAGTTAATTCAATGTCACTCAGGTCTTATAATAATAATAATAATATACCTTTTTTGTTCAAATTTCAGTACTTTCTGATCTCTCTATCCTGTCTGTGGCTCTAAGACCTAAGCCCATTCTTCCTTACTGAAGATGAAAATCAAAAATTAATCCATCGGTTAATCAAACACACCCCAAAAAAAGCCTAAATAATTTCCTAAAACAGCTGGGCACTGTAGATTTTAGCAAATATAAGTGAAAGAGAAGTAACTAGTTCATCGTAACGAACATGTCAGGTACAACAGAGTCACTCATTGATGTACTTGGCGCAGAGGAAGAACAAATATACAGATGATACTTGTTAAAAGGATAAATTCATTGTTGGTATTTTCAAATTTGATTCCCTGGTAATAAAAGAGACACTATTACAAGACTTATCCTTTAATACATCTCTTCTCATGTGTGACCCCTTTAAAAATGGGTGTGGAGCAACTTTATATTGAATCCCTAAATATGTTTGTCTTTGTTCCTCTTGCATCCTCCTGCAGTTTCCCCACCTGGTGTACGGAGCCGTGGCCTCCTCTGCACCTGTCATGGCAAAGTTGGACTTCTCTGCCTACAGCGATGTAAACTGGCACAAACCATGGTTACAGTATTTACGTATTAACCGGGGAGTAGTTAGGATTTTTAAAATACTGAGGTCATGAGTCCACATGCTCCCCTGTGCAACTCAGCCTTGCATTTATTTATTTTTATCTCCCAACATTATGGTCTGATTGCTGATGAAAAGCCACATATATCACTGTGGTTGAGAGTTCTACATCTCTATATCTATATTAATTTTATCTGTGTGTAAACATACAACGCCCATGGAGTCATAGAACGTATTTAAGCCACCTCAGTTCACAAGCACGCCTGTGATAAATAACCACATTCTCACTTTCACATCTGTGATTTCCTGTTGCAGAGTGTTGGCCTGAGTCTCATGAACGAAGCAGTTGGTGGCTCAGAAAAGGTGTGAAGACAACCACCTGTCTGTGCACTATGACAGGCACAGCATTTCCATCTGTTTCATGTGTTAAATTCACTCTGGTCCTCTTCCTTCAGTGTCTGGCTGGTGTGCGGGAAGCTTTTGCTGCTGCGGAAGCACTGATGAGCAGGAATGCCAGCCGGGTGGCCAGGGATTTTGGCTGTTGTCAGATCCCCAGGGATCTTGATGATCAGGTGACTGCAGTGCAGTGTGTGTGTGTGTGTGTGTGTGTGTGTGTGTGTTAGTGGTTACATAAGGGTACATAAGACATCAAAACAGGACTGGAAATCAAAGCGTTACCTGTACTGGTGTTAGTCTGTGCACTTAATTAGCAACATCAGTTGTAAGATACGAAACCAAAGTATATCAGTATGTGATTCCTGACTCTCATATTGACATAGTTTTCAACTAACCCATATGATACTTCAACAGCATAACTGAATATATACATTTTTATTTATTTTATTTGTTCAACCCATGTTTAACCAGGTATGTCCCGTTGAGATCAACAATCCCTCTTACAATATCGACCTGGCCAATACAGTAGCATACAAAAAAGTTACAGCCAAACAACCACACAATAAAAAACATAAAAGATATTCAGTAACATGTAGAAATATTAGAACACCTTCGCACAATGACAGCCGAGACTTTCTTCCTTGTACTTGTGAGAGCTTGAAAGTCAGGCAGAGAGACCATTTTATGTAGTTTTAAATCTTTTGTGAAGGTTATTCCATTTGAGAGGAGCAGAGCACATAAAAGCCTTCTTTCCCAGCTCGGTCCGAGCACTAGGAACAGACAATAAAACTAAGTCTTGAGATCTCAGACTGTAGCTACAGTCAGATCTCTGTTCAATCAAAGTACAACTGTACAAAGAGCGTTTACCCAGTATGGCTTTATAAATGCACAAAAACTAGTAACTGAGCCTACGAAATGTCAGAGATCTGAGTGCACTATGCAGTATCTAAGATGTGCAAACAATGTGCATATGCATTCATGTAGAACAAATCTTGAACCGGAAAAAAGAAGCAGCAACAAGTCTATTTCTGGCCTCAAAGGAGAAACAGGACATGTTCCTGAAATAATATCTGAACTTCAGCCAGGTATGGCTTCTGGCTTTAGTGTCCCACCCCAAGATTTTCGTCTGGCTACCCCGCTGAAACATTTTGGTGGTGCCATTGGTTTAACAAAGCCGCCAGTGTGTTTTGGCCTTAGTGGCATCCTGTTTTTCTAAATTTGCCATTTCAACTGATGTGTGAAAACTTTTACTCTTGGTCAATGTTTTGATGAATAGAAATAATAAATTTGAGTTGTACTCACTTGAACGTCTGTTTAAAACAACACAAATCTTCAGTTTTATCTTATTTTAAGGTGGGTCTTTACAGAGGTTGGCTGATTTCCACACTCTCTCTGTGTCACTGGGACCAGGTGGAAGATTTTCAATGGTGGAACACCACTACGAAAGAATAACTCTGTTTGACTCCCTGTCAAAGGCTATATGCCGAAAGCTTCTGAGTTTGGTTTTTAATGTTACTATGACAATGCCATGTGAATAAAGGCATTTTATAGATTTAAAGAGAGTGCCTTGGACTTTTCTGTGTTTTTTGAACACAAATCTGACGTCAGACGGGATCTTGGCACAGCATATATGCACGGACGCAGCCTTACCTAAAACTTAAAGTACCAAAACAATTTAGCCCTTCAGAGTGTATTTCTCACATCATACAGAACATCTACAAGATCCTCATCTTACAGTATCTTAACCTTCAGACACACTGGAGCTCCCTCACCTGACTCTGAGGCCTCTCAAAATACTAAACAATGACCATGGATAGATCATGCGCTTATACTGTTATGATTATTATAAATGATGACATTCATATTGGCCTACTTCCACAACATCAACCATTTATCCATTATGCTTAAGTGTTAACCATTTAACCATTGTGATTGCTTGAATTCATTTCTTTTAGTTACCATAAAACTTCAGTTAAAAGCCTAGTCCCTTTTAAATCCAAATAAACGCCTGTCTCAATTAGACGCCTGGTCTGGTTGCCAAGCAGTTCATTTTTGTAGAAGTTCTTTGGGTGTATAAAACAGGTTGTTGACTACCCACTTACGTGAGCTAACATTAGTTAGCTGCTTCAAACATGCATACATTATAAGTGTTTAAACTTTTGTCTGTTTTGAGTTGCTACATGTGGATAGCTCAGTTAGATTCTCCACAGTTCAATTGTTAAGTTCATTTTACTGAAACAGTGAGCACCAAAGAATACAATAATTTATTGAAATTTATTAAATGTTGGTAAACAAGAAAAATATGTGTCCATTTCTCAATTTCCTTGTAAGTTATTCATATTCCTTTAGTCTGTATGGGTCCACCAATCGAAAGAATCAAAAGGGTTTTTCATAAAAATTATTGTGAGTACTGTTTTAACAGAATAAAGTGATGTCATAACTCTTGCTTTCTGATGCAGAGCTAGATCAAATGAGTTATTCATAATTCATATGTTATTCGAAGCCAAATTTTTATACAAGTAATATTCAAACTAGTATTTTCCATCTTTGCTGAGCAACAGTCTGGTGTGAAAGGATTTAATGACCTGTCCTAAATATACGCCTGTTGAGCTCAGTGATTTTAGCAAATAATAGCCTGGGCTACCACTTAAAGTTTTAAGGTATTTCAACCAACTTTTTATTCAGTGGTTATATTTCACATACATTTTATTTGTGCATTTGAGACAAATATTAGTGGCTCTTATCATAAAACTACACTCTTTATTCTATTCAACCCACCTTTTTTTATTGTTGCTTTTTCAATTCTGATTCAGAATAAATAAGTCTTTAACCATACATCTCTACTTCAGATTGAGCTGATGCAAAACCTGGCCGACATCATCATGGGAACAGTGCAGTACAATGAAGAGGGGGTGCTCATGTCTATTGATGAGATCTGTACTGTGATGACTAATAAGAGCGAGGCATGTGAGGAGGAGGTGGAGGCTTACAACCGCCTTGTTAAGCTTTCACAGGTATGGAAAACACACTCTCAGATGGCACAAGATGAACTCCTGTTTGTTGTTTGCCTTTTTCGTGCACAGTATGACCACCAGATGTCACCATGGAGCAATTTTCTTGGCCTGTAGCCCCCCAGAGTTTAACCAAGAAGGTGCAACTATTTTGGATTTCTTTTGGCAGCAGGACTATGTGGTCAAGCACCCAAGGGTACATGTTTTCTATGTTTTTTTCCTCTGTATGTGTGTGTGTGTTTGTGCAGATCTACCACTCTACCAGCGAGGAGCCGTGTCTGGATATCTCCCATGAGAAAACAGTGAAGAACCTGATGGACACGTCCATCCACTCAGGCCGGAGAGCAGAGAGACAGTGGACTTACCAGACCTGCACCGAGTTTGGCTTCTGTACAACACACACACACACACACACACACACACGCATACAGCAACACGTACATAGTCAACCATCATTCTGTCTTTGTCCTGACACCCTTTCTTTATCTGTGTGTGTAGACCAGACCTGTGAGGATGCCACCTGTCCGTTCTCTGGGATGGTGACCCTTCAGTCCCAGAATGAACTCTGCCCCATACTGTTTGGCATCTCCCAGCATTCCCTGCCTGGACGCATTGCCTTCACAAACACCTACTATGGAGGAGACAACGCACACACACACAGGGTCCTCTATGTCAACGGTGAGACTGGGTTTACAACAGACCAAATCATAGCAGATGACTAAGAAAAAAAATCTATATCATCATTTCCACAGGTGGAGTTGATCCATGGCGAAAGCTGTCGGTGGTCCAGGACAGGACTGAGGAAGGTGATGAAGCTCAGACCATTTTCATTAAGGACACCGCTCACTGTGCTGACATGATGAGTGGGAGAGTCACAGACCGCTGCTCGCTCAAGAAAGCCAGACAGGTATGTATGCCTCAATAACATGTTACCGTGTAATCTTCATAACAGACACAAATATGATGAAGTCCTTAAAACATTCCCTCTGCCTACCTCTCAGGAGATTGAGAAGCATGTGGTCAGCTGGCTGAAGAAGGCTGCACAGGAGAAGGTCTGATCAGATCACATTATAACCTGATCAGCTCTTATCGCTGTTTCCTTAAACAGATAGGAAGCAGTTAATAAGCTGGTGTGCAGAGCTGCTCTGATCTCTCTCATCTTCTTCCTCCTCCTCCATTTCCTCTCTGAGCACACCCTGTTCTCCACCTCCGCACTGTCCATTCATAACTCAGCACTGTGCTTGATTTGTGTGTTTGTGTGGACTGTTTTTTTTAAAGTGTACAGATGTTTACCCTGATTTTAAAGTTATTACTAATTTGGAAATGCAGATAGAGCTCCTTTTATGCTTCTCTTCCCTTGCTAGTTTAGATTTGATATTTGTAGAGAATTTAAAGTTTACATGTACTGAATTTATAAGTGTTTATGCGTATGCTCTTTTTTTTTTTTTTTTTTACAGTATCCATCACTTGCCATACCCTGTAGTATCACTAGGGTGCGATATTGCTACACGTGTCAAACCCTGTTCTAGCTCCTCATTCTCTGTAAAACACAGAGAATCAAAATGCTGGTATTCATCTGTTGTCCCTAATAAAAGGCAGGAAGTGTTGGTATTGTGAGGCCTCTGTGTAGATTTATTTCCATCATTATGGGGCATTTGTCATGAGTCAGTAAGGGGATTGAACGTATGATGTCACGGTGTATCTGCGGCTGTGATACAGTTGAGTTGTTGTGTTTGTAACAGTGTTGGAGAGTGTTTGTGTTGGAAGAGTGAGGAAGCACCAGTTGTCCGAAGGCCATCTGTTTGCTCTGGGCTGCAGTGCAGTGCAGTGCAGTGTGTGTGTGTGTGTGTGTGTGTGTGTGTGTGTGTGTGTGTGTGTGTGTGTGACCCTATCAGTAGGGGGTCAAAAGTGGGAGGTCATGACCCTGCTGACCCTATGGGAGTGGAGATCATCAATCAGCTAGGGGCTGGACAGAGCAGCAGGGGGACTCACACACAAACACACGCATACACACACACACACACACACACACACACACACACCTCTAGATACTGTAACACAGAGATGTACCTTGGAAACAATATATAAAACACATCAAAAGCACATTTGAATCCAACAAGTTTGATGAATGCAAAGAAATACAATAGAAATGTTATATTCAAAGCTGCACTCACACACACACACAAACACACACACACACGATTACATGCATTAAAGCCTCTCATACGAGCTTTCATACAGGCTTTCTTATTCATGGAAACCTCCCAGATGCTATCACACACCGCGGCCCAGAGACAAAGCTTTAAAGATGGAAAGAAAGTGAATAAACTCAAAGCACTTTTTTACTGCAGTATTTCCATTTCATCCTGTTTCTAACATCCCCTCATCTATTTGCTATTATAAACAAGTACACCCACACACACACACAGTTACACACACTCCGAGAGCCACTATCAGGGTTATCAGCCAGCACTTGCAGAGCGACAGGGCATGCTTTTTCTCTCTCCTCCATTCCTCCTCCCCCTCCTCCTCCTCCTCCTCCAGCCTGTCCTGTTGATCAATGAGGAAGTTCTTGGGCCTCAACTATTAATCAGAGCCTATCGGCTATCTGTCTGCAGAGCCAACCAATCACGGCCCTCCGACAGCTGGGCCATGAAAAATGTGGCCCGGGTGGATGGAGGGGAGGTTGGGGAGTTTGGGGCGGAGGGTGGCAGCGGGGTCGATGAGGAGAGGAGGGAGGTGAAGGAGCACTCTATCAGTCAGGTCACGACTGCACAACTGCACTTTACAGTGGTTTCTTAACATACACAAATGAGCACACAGGTTTCATGATTGGTGCACGCATGATGATTCACTTCAGTAGACACATTTTGCTCCTGATTCACATTAACGTTGAATTTAGGCCTTTTGCAGGCATGTAGCACCCACTGTGTTGCCGCTGCTTTCACTTGGGGAGCGGTTAGAGTGACAGAATCAGACTAAAATATAATGAACACAGTGTTTTTATGGGTTTGCAGCAGAAAGCTCCCCACTGAGGACTATAACGCTGCTGATCTGTTGTCCAATAGCGTGGCCTGTCCTCGCGCCACAAAGCTTCATCAACACACTCCCATCCCTCTTCTGCATAATCACCATGCTCACACTCATCCATTCACATCTTATTGCCATGATTAGATTACATCTAATGCTATTACACCGCACCCATCTCTCTCCCCACCTCTGTCTCCCTCCTTCCTTCCCTCTCTCTCTCTCTCTCTCTCCCTCATCATGGATTTCTTGCAGATCTTATTAGTGCGTGATGCGGACCAGGTCTCCCACTTTGGATTTATGAACCCTCAAGACTTCTCTCCTTTAATCTCCCTCTCCTCCTCCGCTCCCTTCCTGCATCTGTCCATCTATCATTCCCAGGGTTGGCTTGGGCGGAAGAGTATTAATCCCTCCATCCCATCTCTCACTCCTCTGGACAGATGAGGAGGTGGAGGAGGGAGATGGGATGGAGGATGGGAGGAGGCGGTGGGGTAGAGGGGAAGGAGACCTCAGATTACTTTTCATAATATTTCTGTAGCATTGTAGGAAAAATTGAGTTGCATTACAGGTAATGTATGCAGATTTATTAGATGATAGGTCACTGCTTTGATTCCTTCAACAGGTATGAAGATGAGCTGGAGATGCTGCAGAGTGAGTGTGTGTGGGCGGAGTGCAGAGGATACAGATGGGATGATAAACAACTTAGTGTGTGTGTGTGCTATCGAGTTGTTTGCACGTTTATGTTGTGTGTGGTTGTGTGTATATGCCATAATGGGGTTTATGGAAGAACTGTGTACATGCAAAGTGAGCAACTTGCAAAAGGGCAGCAGATACTGCAGTGTATTACCTGTTGAACATATTTTCAGTACATATTCCAGTTTTAGCGGTGGTGAAGGCACACTTTCACATCAGTATACTTAGGTAGAAACAAGGGCGGATCACCAAATTCTGGGTCCTATGCCTAGGCAGTCTCTGTGGGGCCCCCTGCCCTTCCTCTGTTGACCCATATCTCTTACAAGCACCTTTTGAATTTGCAGTCTTTAAGCAAATGATAATGCATACTGGCATTTTAGCAGCATAAGCAGTCACTCACACGACTCTACTGTAGTTGTGTTTAGAGACCATCCTGGTGCAGGGGAGGACTAAACCATTTTGAGCATTTATGGGGTGAGCTGGGCCTCAATTTTGGCTAAACCACAAAGGCAAAGCTGTCTGTGAGTGAGTGAGTGACTGACTGACTGATGACGTTACACCATCGGTCGGAGTGACTGATGATGTAAGTGGTGAAGTTTCCTCATTGGCTTTTGCTCTTTTGAAACAAATAGGCGCTGACACAGTGACAGAGCCGTGGACACCAACAGTCCTGTGTTACTTTATTGCTCATTTTCTGTGACCAGTGTGATCACATGGTGGAATTAGCAAGCTAGAGATCTAATTAGCCAGCTGAGACTCTCTTGTCACAGCGTAGGAAAGCACATTGTTATCATTGGATGAGTGACGGCTTTCTTCAGTTCATTTTCAGGTAGGCCTAACCACTGTAATGCTGGCATGAAAATATGGTGGAATTAGCAAGGAAGCTAGCTAGCTAAATAGGGGAGCGTGCCTATGTTCCCACAGTGCTATGTTCCCACAGCCCTGTGTTTCCACAGCTCTATGTTCCCACATTTCCTTTTTCATAAATTTGTATCAGATTTTATCCCCCTTTCTTCCAATTTGGTAGCCAAATACACCCAACCTATTATCCCCCCTAACCCTACCCCTAACCCTTGTGGGAGGATAAGGTTTAAATTGAAGGGAAATGTAGGAACACAAGACCTAATTTTGAAAATGTCCTAGAAATGTGGGAACATAGGGCTGTGGGACTATTGGGCTGTGGGAACATAGGGCTGACCCCCTAAATAGCCACCTGTGGTTGAAATGGCAGTTTTAGACAGAGGAATGAGAGGATCATCTGATCAGTTTGTTTGAGAAACAGCCGCGTCTGTATGACCTAAGCCTTAAATGTATTCAAACGTCACTGACAATTATGTTTACAATGTCAGAGTGGGTGTTGCCCCCATTATGAGGAGAAAGTGGAAGTAAGGCATTGAAGATTGAAACTGAAATAAATATAGTTAAAATGTTGGAACAGGTGGCGCCACAATGACAAAATTCTCTATTTGGTAATCAGCTCTGATAGGAAGTTTTAAACTATCGTTATGGGCAGAACTTGGCTCTGATAGTTGCAGATGGCTGCACAGCCTTCACCAGTCACAACCGGAGCCAAAGAGGGGAGGAGTTCAAGATATTCTCACCCCGACCTCGTCACGTATCGACGTTTGGTCATGGACTTTCCACGTCTAGATACAATTACCCTGGGTGCATTGGTTGGTGACGTTCTGAGATGCCGTGTCAAGTTCTGCCTGTTACATACATTGTCTTCTTTCAAAATACACTTCAGTTTTCACAGGAAATGTAATGTTTACATACAGTCTCTTTCAAAATAAATGCACTACGTTGGTAAAGCCTTGTGAATTGACATTTTTTTTAAACCTTCAACAACTAACACCTAATGGTTAGGTTTAGGGAAAGAGTACAAGGTTTGGCTTTATAATCTTACAGGACACCAGCACCACTCTCCTGGGTTAAAGCCAGTGTTTGTTGGACCCATGCACCACCCCTGCCCGCCCTACTCAAACTTTGGTCGCCTTAAAGGGAAATTTTGGTTTATTTCAACCTGTCTCCTATCGTCCTAAATTTGTTTCAAGTGACTAGTGATGAAAAATAATAGTTAGCATGTTAGCCGTTAGCCTAGATACAGCCGGGGCGCATAGTAG